GTCATTGTAACTTCTGTATTGTTAGCCAGGCATGGGTGAAAGGTCAATATATTAAAAATGATAAATATATATAAATGTATAATGTTATGAGAGTTAAGCTATTTCATCTAAACATTTATGTTTTTGTGTTAAAATTTGTATTCATTCTAGAATGAAAGATGCATGATTTATTTTTATTCCCTAATTTTTTATGGTGGTTTCCAGATCAATCAAATTTACCAAACCCATACAGAGATTAATTACTGAAAATAACAGATTAAAATATAAAGTTTTTCTTAAGAAATGTTTGATAACTATTTGGACATTATAAAGGTTTTGCATATGAAATTTTGAAATTTTCTGATGCATAAAAATATTTTTAATGTTAAGATGAAAATTACTTTGCACGATAGATAGGCAAGATGTTGAAAGAAAAAAAAAGTCATGAGAGAAACATTGCTTTACAAACCTTAAGACTTAATAGAAAAATAGATGTTTTGCATATGAAAGCATTGTAATGTTTACTGATAAACTGCCAAATTTCGTTAACATTCGCTTACTAATTTAAACGTTATAGCATGAAAACTATAACAAGCACAAAATTTTTAGGAGGTTGTTCCCAGTGACCGAGCCTGGGTTGAAAGAGTGAATACGACTTTCAGGGTGTCCGGGTTGAAAAAGTTAAAAAACACAAAACACTATTTTATGAAATATCTCATCTTAGTGTGGATCATGGATCAGGCTTTAGAAGACATGATGTGTTCCACAGACCATCTATTAGGGACATGTACAGCAAGCAAGAAACTTTTACTGTTTCAGTAAACTAAAATTCATAATTTATATTATAATACATCAGGCTGATGTATACAAGTGAGAAACTTGCCTAGTGCCACTGAGTAATGTTTAATTATCTAAGTCATAATTGCATGATTTTTTTGCTCAGCAAACTGAAGTATTTGGATGAGACATGCATAATATATATAATATATAATAGATGTATTTCTGAATTTTTTACATAAGATGAAATATAAATTTTAATGTAGATATACATTTTACTTTTTCCAAGTTTTTCTAATTTATTATGGCTACTTACTTTGTCTGTACGGTAGTTAGAGAAAAAGGTGTAGGATTTAACAGTTGTTGACATTTCTAACTGTACATAAAATGTAATCTGTTGATACTAGAATTAAGAGTTATTTGTGTATTTTCAGCCATTAGCACAGAAACCAAGCCTTCTTTCCTAGCTGTTTGTTTTCAAAATGGTACTATTTACATTATGAAAAATTATGATGATGTTTCCCCTGTTGTCATAGTAACTGGCTTGAAAGGTATGTTTTGTTTTGTGACACTAATCGATCATAACTTACTAAATGTTTATTGTATAATTTTTTAAGCATAATTAAGTAGCATAAAATCCTTAAAGTATAAAAGTATGAAAATTGGACAGAAATTGCCTCACTTTTATTCCCTTCAGTTTTGTATGATATCAACAAAAGTTTGTTTTTGTCCATCAGTGAGTAAGGATTTAGAAATAACAACTCTGAATTTAATGTTAAAAAGTTTTTACAAGCTATATTATTTTATAAAATATCAGTTGTAAATGATGATTTGTCAGTCGGTTCAACATACTGAACTTATCATATTTGAGTTTATTTTGTTTTTCTCATAGACATGCTAGTAGAATGGTCAAACAATGGGGATTTATTAGCAGTAGCTGGAATTAAAAGTGATTCTGACGTCCAGTTTAAGAATTATGTCCATTTCTACACTGATTGTGGAACTCTTCGTTTCAGTACAACGATACCTTACACACAGGTGACAAATATACTTGATTCATAAAAGTTCAAAGTAATATAACAGATGGTACTCAGATTGCAAAATAATGTATTTATTTTTTAACATAGAAGTTTGTGAGACAGTTAAATGATGTGTAGTAAAATTTTATTCTTTGTTGTACCAATCCAGTTTTGCTCTTCTTACAGTTTATAATATAAACAATAGGAGATGGAAAGGATAATTTTTTGGTAAAGTCTTGTTAAAGAGTCCTTGTATCAAATAAAAATAAAAACTTCATGGTGCTATTAAACCAATACCCATCACCAGTAAAGATATATATTCATCTTCATAAATTGATATAATCAAATACCTATGAGTACCTATTAAAATAATTAGTGTCATGTAAAATAATCATTTAATCAAAATTATGATTAAATTGACTAATGTCACATAAATAATTAATTATTCAAATTTATTGTTTATGATTATTACTTTTTCTCATTAACTCTTTCACTACAGGCTTGGTCCCAGGGACCAACCTTGTAACCATTTTGTGCTTGTTATATGCATGATGCTAGAAAAACATGTAGGTTCAAGAAGTCTTGATAGAAATGAATAAAACCCTATAACCCGAGCACTTTTGAAAGGTGGGCCTTTCATCTTCAGGGGGCAAACTGCTTGTTATAGTTTTCATAATACAGTAAGCATATCTTCAAGAAATTTTGCAGATCATCAGTAAACATTACTAGGTTTTTGTATACAAAATATCAGATTTTTGTATCACATTTTAAGATTATTCAAATAATGATACGCTCATGCATTTTTTCTTTTCGAATGTTGACTATCCAATGTGCAACATAATTTTGATTTTAAGATTAAAAATACATTTTTATTTTTAGAAAATTTTCAAATTAACATGTGAAATCTTTATAATCTCCAGATGATTATCAAATGTTTTTTATAGAAAAAACTTTATATATTATCTCTTATTTTCACTTTTGTATCTTTGTATGGGTTTTATCTATTTGACTGAATCATAACTGGCATAAAAAATTTGGAAATAGATATAAATTATGCTTTTTTTTGTTCTAGAATGACCACAAATTATAATAAGAAAACACAACTGCTTAGTCTAAATAAATTCAATCTCTTAATTATATAGATTATACATCTATATATGTATTTATTATTTTTATTTTATTGAAATTTCAGCCATGCCTGACTAACAATACAAAAGTTGCAATGATGTAGTTCACATGCACTCATGTTACCGTATCCAAGAATATAAAACTGGCCTTTACAAAGTGACCTGTCTTGGCTGTGTTCTGGTGGACCAGTATTTTGTAAAATACATTCACATTTTGGTTATAATACATCATATGAGTATATACATTGTTACTATTTACAAATAAGTTCTTAAATTTCAATTCCTTTTCTTAAAACAAAGAACAGTAAATAAAGATGTATAGAAAACAGCTATTTCTTCTAATTATGAACTTTATACTTGTTTACTGCTTGCCGTAAGTTGCTAAGCCTTATCAAATTTCGCACGCGGAGGATGTAAAACAAGATGATTTTTTTTTATCTTTTATATTCATTTTGAAATAACAAAAAATCATAAATTACTATATCAATACCACATAATTCCACTGTAATTTATCAAACTTAGTAACTAAGATGTATTTGGGTCTAAAAAATATGATTTTTCAAGCTCACTAATAGCTTATCTTACTGCTGGGAATCTAGCATGAAAAGAAAGAGTTTCCCATGCAAATACTTCACAGAGGCTGAGAAAAACCGCTAGGGGGGACATTCTGAGCTTTTGATTGATTATACTCATGTCATTGGGCAAAGTAGGTGTACATAAGCAAGTATTTTCAAAAATAAAAGAGGTGGATGGGGCCACCTTGGTTGATTCAATAAATATATTAATATCTCAGAAAATAGAAAAGAAAGGAGGTTCTTAGCATATATTCTAGTTTTGCTAGAATTAGTATTGCTAATTTGAATATCTAATTCATAAAAAACTATAGACTTTGTATTTGGACATCACAAACATCTAATTTGAACCAATGCTGCATTCAGCATACCACATGACACATAAAAAAAACAATATTTATTATTTTTTTAAATATTTACTTTTAAATTAAGAAATTAACTAATGTATAATACTAGAATTTGAATTATAATCTACAATTTTATACCAAAATAGTAATTCAATAAAATGTTGAATGTGAGTCTGCAAATGCAATGATATAGCCTTTGACCTGTAACTATAGGAAGACCCTTGTCATTAGGGTTAAGCCAAATACCTAAGTAATCAAATTATTACCATTGTGATTTCCCATTATTACTTTTGATTAATTCTGCTTTGTTTAACTTAATAATTTGTGTCACAACTCACAGTTATTATTCATTTCAATTATTCCAACTACTCAAGTAATCAAAGTATTGCCATTATGATTTGTTCTTATTATTATTTTGATTAATCCAAGTCTGTTCAGCTTTGGGGCAACATTGCTCAGAGATTACGAGTTTGCCTTATGATTTATGGATTTTGTGTTTGATTTCTGTTACTACCACACATGCTTGACCTTTCATCTACATGGGTGTTATATTTGTGTTTGAGTTATGGTAAAGCTATCTTTTACTGTCCCTAATTTTAAATTCCATCCAGAGGGAGGGCAACTGGCTAATACCACCCACTGCCATCTCTTGGGCTACTGTGATGTTCAATAAAGTGTAAATTTACTGGGTTTTTTTTACTACATTGTGTTTTCTCATTTATAATTGCATAACTGTATTTTTTAATGTTGAATAAGGTGTAAAATTACTGTTTACAATGTAATTTATAATTTACGTAACTGTTTTCTTTAGCATTAAATAAACTATAAATTTACTTTTTTACATTGTGTATGTGTTATGTTTGTAACACCACACCTCTTACTTTCTGGAAATTGTGACAGGCAGTGCCATGCTTCGAACCCGCAAATCTCTAATCATGGGGCAAACACTTGCAAAGCAGTATTCACTATCCACTTGGTAATGCCAGCCTTTTAACCATGTGAGAAATTACAAGTGTAAATATAACAATTAATTTTCAATAAGCAATAATAAAATCAATACCTTGATATAGTATTAAAATTTGCAAGTATCAATTATTTTCTTCACTGTACTATTTTATTATATAGAATAGTATTATAGAACATTCTCCATGATTAATGATATTTAAATAGAATGTGATTGCAATATAGCCTTCATAAGGTGTAGTAAACAAATTTGTTTGTATTAATTCGGCTGACCCTAGAAAAAAAAACTGTTTAATACCTTTTGTTTTGAAAATGTTTAGAGAAGTTAAGTATCATTGGAACTAACTCGAAATTATGTCAGGAAAAAAAGTCAACATCATATTTAATATTTTGAATGGGATAAACTATTATTGAAAAATTAGTTAAGAAACTTTTATAATACACCTTATAATCCACAACATTTACTTGATTGTGTATCATGTTTGACTTAGGAAGTTAGGCTAGCGGTAATAAATAATTACATTAATAATTATACATAAATATGTACTGAATATACAAGATTTTAAGACACATTAACAATTTTTATTGTAGAATCATTTATATTTTAAATATTAATAATGTTTTGTTTTAAATTCACGTGTATACTTCAAATATATTTTCAGGTTAATCAATATTAGTAATCCATTTCTTCAATGCCAATTTCCATTAACTAGTGGTCTTATTTGGAATATTATTATAATGTTTTAGTGCTTGATACGTATAACTTTTTCTAAATATTTCCTTTTTATTTTAGGAATTTAAAATTCTGGAATAATATCCTCACCACTTCACACAATAGCTATTCCTTGCACTTCTACCTTTCAGATTTTGTACATGCCACTAGTTTTTAGCTGTTTCCCATCTAAAACATGTTTTGAGCTAATGCATGATGTAATCATAATATGACAATAGCCTTCCACCAATAGGAGGCAACAAATTCTTCATGTGCAGTAATTCCCATAACCACTTGCACTCAAAATTAACCTTATTCTCCTCAGCACTGTTATAAATGGACTTATTTCTCAAAGCTTAAACTATTTTCACTATAGTAAGATTTGCGCTGCCTTTATTCCAGTGTTAACTTTTTTTTATTTCAACATACATCATTTAATTCATTTAATTACTAAATACAAAAAAAAATCTGGAGAATTCCTTTAACTTTCCATTTGAGGTCAGTGGATTACACTAATCTTTTAATTCCGAAGTAACCATCAGAGTTTCCATACTATAACTTTTAATATAGTGCATGTATCTTCATGAAATGTGACAAAAATCAGATTTTTATGTAAGTATCTTTACTAAAGACTTGTTCTTGAATATATAAGAGTCAGATTGTTGACTGCTCCATGTGCAGAGTGATTTTCATGCTAAGAGTAAAAATACTTTGCTTGATCTGAAAATTTTGACTTTCTAGTATATGTCACTATAAGCAAAGAAGGTTGAAGGCTATAAAAGTTATGCTTTGCCATGTAATATTTATATTATAATGAGTAATTTATGTTAAACTCTGTCACTCAGAGAGGAGTGGTAAACAAATTAGAGAATGGGCAAAATCTAGAGAACAAATGTCACGATTCTCATATAAGGGAAGATTGAGGATTTATTTATATATTTCCTTTTAAAATTAAAAAAATTAAAACCTATATAATATTAAAAATTGATATATTAACTATGTTCTGATGTCAAGTTTATTCGTATACATTAATAATAAAGTAGTTAAATTTTGAATGCGACTCTGTAAATGTTCATGACGTGCAGTTTAACCTACCCATAGCAAGAGGGTTAATCACAAGGAATTCTCAAGTGAAAGTGAGTACTACCTTCTCATGAGGTTCTGCCATTGTAGATAACACTGACCCTACTTTGTTCTATGTGTTGTGGGTTTGTTACTGTCTTCACTGCCTCATTTCCCTGTCCCTATGCCAGGAATGTGTTCCCCTCTTTTTTGAACCTGACCATGAGGATGATGTT